ATGAACACCTGGAACAATGTTGGGGACAGCGTGCAACCTTGTGGGACCCCCTGCTCAATGTCGAAGAATTTAGACAGTTAGTTCTCCGTCTAACATGACCGCGCTTTTCGTCCACTCTCNTGGACAGTTGTTTCCACAACCCATTTCTCCATACGGTGTCGTATGCCTTTTTCACGTCCAGGAAGAAGCAGTACGTCGGCTTTCCCGCCCTCTTTCTACCTTGGATGATTCTCCCTACCGTGAACACGTGGTCTAAGCACCCCCTCTTCTTGCGGAAACCTGCCTGGCTCTCACCAGTGCTATGTTCCTTCTCCAATACTCCCACTATCCTATCGTTCAGCAGCTTACAGAACACTTTTCCTACTGTGTTCAACAGTGTGATTCCCATGTAGTTTCCTGGGTCAGTCTTGTCTCCTTGCTGAAACAAGTTCACAACCACTCCTCCCCTTNCCTTTTCTAGTTCGACGTTCCCAACGTCTGCCTTCGATGTCTCTTCTTCTTTCTGGGCCCATGCGTCCACCTCCTTCTTAAACGCTTGGTCAAAAGCTTCATTCTCCGAGGGCACTCCAAGTCTCTTGTAGTGTCCTGGTAGAACTTCCCTTTTTCCCTTCCCACGGCTGACAAATCCACCGTTCACACCTCGCAAAGTGGCTACCCCTATATCCCCCCCTTACGCGGCCTTGGTACCGCAGGCGGGGGGGGGCGGGGGGGGTTGCTTGCTCGTCTCACTCTGTACTCTCGGAATCACTTACCTGCCCAAGGGCCTAGCTAAAGACGAACAACAAATATTGGCAGACCTTACCCTATGGTTTTGCACAGTGTTTCACGGGGGTCTCTGTGATTCTCGAGAGGGTGCGTGCTCACCATGTGCATGCCTTGGGTCATGAGTATATGGCCCTATTATGAGCTTGCTACCATGTCGCCCTTATTCTCGCGCACCTGTTCCGCCCCCGCCCTTGCGGCGAACATTGAAAGGATCCCCGTTCCGCAGCCCACGTCCATCACCACCTTCCCGGCGAAGAGGTGCTTGTTGTGTTCGATCGCGTTCATGTAGCTCGTCGTTCGCACCTGCGACGAAGACGGCAACACCAACAGTGACGAAATCAGCGGCAACGACGACAACGACAGCGCCGACAACAACAGCCAGTGGCTACCAAACAATTGGCAACAGCAATAGTGAGGAGGAGGACGACGACAACAATAACAACATCAGCACGCACCTAAACACGAGCATCAGCAATGATCGACGACGACAACGACAACACCCACGAGAGGGGAGTCAACCACAAACATGTTTGATAGGTCACAGAGCAGTAGGTCGCCCTTCCTCTACGCAGACGCGATGCCTGAAACAGCGACGCTACCAGGAGACAACTCAGCGGCAAGGGTGCAAAGTCAACGTCTCCAAACGCTGCAAACAAAAAAAAAGAGCAAAAAGAAAAGCCCACTGGAGAACGTCTGAGCTCAACGCTACCAAGGTTGACGGTTGTCGGGGCGCTTTTGAAAAAAAAAATGGCCGAGCGGCCTATACCTCACTATCGTGCCCGGCAGTCAGGCAAGCCGAGACAAGCAGGTTAACGCCCATGCATACCAAGACCTACACAACACCTTCAACGGCATTGATTGCGATCTTCAGCATGACAAGGCCCCCATCACATCCTAGATGAAACATCTCCGTGGTTGGTTCAAGTTTAATAGCTTGTTAGGTCTAGGCACTACTACTGGTACCGCGGATCCTCTTCTTTGAGTTATCCGCGCCGAGAAAACCGATCGCCCCTTATATGAGAGCATTATCACCCCGTCCATGTGCGAAAGGTGTTGTGGTGCTTGCATCATGCACGTGTACACACCTCGTCTTTAAGCATTTCTTCGTGGATGCCGAAGTGGGAGTACGAGTCGAAGTAGTAGTCCTTGCTGCGAGGCGTGAGGCGTGTTCGGGGGGGGGGTGTACCACGGGACACCGCATGCGGTGTCAGGTACGCTCAAGAGATGAAAAATATCACCAAAATCCATCCTCCCTCCCGACCTTTGTCGTTCGCAGAGAGACAAGCTTGGTTGTGAAAGAAAAATAAAAAATGAATCAAGGGATGTCGTCAAGAAGACCCGCCCAAACCACTGTGTCGGTATGCGCGCAGCGTCATCTTTTATTGCCTTAGTCGGAGGACCGGGGGTATACATTCACGTTTCGTGCGCCGATCCACTACATTGCACTCTGTAGGTTGGGTCATATTTGAGTGGAGCATACAGCAGCTGCATCTTCCAGCGCGTCCAAATGAAACGCCTTTTAGGTACTTGTCCCCCACCGGAACTCAACAGCGTACGTCGATGCTCCACAGCATACCTACTTTGATGTTCCACCCCTCGGATAAGTGACGTGAGGACAAGTTAGGTACATAGAAACCCGGAACATCATGACTCCTTTCGCAGCGAACTTGTCCCGACTTTCATAATGGATATTGATGCGATTTGTTAATATTCTTCTGTAATCAAAAATCACTCGCACAAATTACTGCGTGTTCTCAAACCATGGGACTCTGTACCAGTGTAGTGCTTCCAGTGCAGAAAGTAGCAGTGCATACAACGTACTTCGGTCGAATTGATGGTCTCCATGCCGGAATACAAACTATGGCTGTACCCTCTAACAACCAGCGGTAACCCAGGTCCACACGTGCGAGAGTCGTTGACATTTTCAATAGCACGAGGCTGGATGTGCACCGATCATTGCAGAGAGACAGAGAAAGGTGCGCGCGAATCGATGATGGCCCACACCAAGAGACAATTTAGCCCGCGGAAACAGCAGAGAGCAGAGGGGGAGGGGAGGCAACAGCAAAAAATGGAAACGGCACGGTACACCAATATCTACATGGGCCGCAGCTGTTGCTGTGCATCGATTTCAGGCATCCTTCGGCGAGAAAAAAAGGAAGGCCATGCCAGTCTGAAGTGCACACGCAGATGTTTTTCTGCAGCACCTGCTGAAGGTGTTACGAATGCAAGATAAGCAGCACAGCGACGATATGTATGAACGCCCGCAACATCATAGGGCTGAAAGAGAGCCAGTCCATCTTGTACCAAATCCAACGCGGCCCGGCAACTATAGCACGAGACTACATACATCGCACCAGAAAGAGCTCGGGATTTACACACAGCATCAACGAGCAGCCGCTTGCCGCACGTATTACGATGTGTAGTGCTTATCGGCGCGCAGCCTAGACAACCAAACACGCACAGAGCTGGAGATGACCTTACGAAAGTCCGGGCGATCTAGACCGCAGAATGCGGAGTGGTCTCCGATCACCCCGCAGCTAGCTCGTCTATTTTTTCATGTCTCCACACGCTACACCGCCCGTACCTCGTCATCTCCGTGGGCTTCTCCTCGGCTCCAGGGCTGGGCGTTCCGGACTTCACATCCTTGGCAGTAGCATCTACGCAGGGTGCCTTGTTCTCAACCTCTTCCATTGGGTCAGCCGACATCGGCACGGTCTGTTGTTGGGTGAAATCTGCCATGTTGGTTGGGACGCGCAAAGGGTACCCAGCGCGACTACACTACTTGTTAGCGTTTGTCCGGGCGGGGATGGCTCTCGTAGAGAAGGCTTGGCTTGCTCGTGGGAGCTATCAATCACTTTTCGGGGCGCCCGGTTGTTCCGCGTGCCGTGTTGTCAGCGTGGTTGCGGTCTACCTTGCTCCGGCTCGTTGCCGTGGTGTTGTTGGTGTACGGTGTACGGCCTGCGGTCCACAGTCTGCGCGCGTACAGAACGCCGCAGAGAAATTTGAACTCCATGATCTCCGATGGAGATTGCGGAGAACTTCAGCAGGAAGTGGAGTGAACACACCCAGCCATATCTCTTCTCGCCTCTGCCGTGCATCTCTTCTCCCACGATAGAATGCCGTCGTCTCCACCGGCCGATGCAAGTGACCCGAAACCTATTCCACTGCCACGGCGATGGGGTGTGGGTGAAATGTGAGCGAGAAGTAATCTTCGAACACGCTGCCTGGAGGGAAATGGTAGACGATAGTCTAGGTATTGCTGTAGACTAGACTACAGCTTCTTGCTCGCGTGTACAGCAGTAGTACGGCTAGTACGGGTGTGCCAGCAGGGAGTGCTGTTGGTCATTGCACATACGTGCACCGGATTCGTTGCTTCTACATATGTTTTGGGATACCTAAAGCTCCATGAAGTGCCGGGTTGTGACGGACCGCTGCGTGTATTATCCAGGTAAACTGCTGTCGCAAATAAATACGGCTGCACTGAACAGGCAACAATGCACCTGCTGGTCCCCCGTAGAGTAGTCCATATCGACTAGCGTCCACTCCGAGGTCGAGGTCTCTGGGAATCGGGAAACCTTCAAGACCCCACCCGTAGAAGTAGCTCGATTGAAGTAATGATCTATACTTGTCTACAGACCTCCCCCCCGCTCAATGTCGTTTGTGTTTCTTGTGCCGCCGCTGTCTCCAAGTTTGACGGCAAAGGAAAACCGGTCCGTGGTCAAGACTCTCATCCTGTTCTCGGCCTTCATGGTGGCCTTTCCCATCGGCACATTCTTCGCCTTCCACGACTACATACTCAGAGGTCGGCGCCGACTGCTGTCCTTGCGTCTGTCAGCAAGTTTCATAGGGATACATCACGCGAGAGCGCCGTGCTTGCATGCTCGCGAATAGGTCGCAAAATAGACAAGCACAGGTTATTTGTGCGACCTGTGAATTTCCAATGGGTTCAGGGCAAAATAAACGAAAACAAACGTCTGTAACATGCTGCTGCCCTACATGTGCGCGTTTTCACATGCGTTAACACAGGAAGAACTTTTTGAACTAGCCTCAATCCTCCGGTTTGTCGTGCGCGGCTAGTAGAACGGAGTTCGACGCTATTGATTTCGGCCAATGTCTGGGACGGTCTACGCTTGTGAGCTCCAACATAAACATCCACTCGTATCCGTGCTCTTGCTCCTTCCGGTGTCGCCTCTCTGCACCGTTCACGTGGTGGTTATGAAACGTCGAGAAGACACAGCGCCCAACACACGAACGTTTTGCAGGTGAGCGAGAAGGGTATGTACAATGTAGAGGTGCGAGCGGTAAGGTTCGCGCGCCGAGGCAAATAAGCCAGCGTGCGAGCTCTATGGCGTCAATAACTGCAGAAATACTTGGAGCTTCGAGGAGTACCAGGTGTTCACGATCGTCCACGTGCCCCATCGGTTAGACAATGTACAAACATCGCCTCTGCATTTCACGTTGAGTTGGCGTTAGCTGACTGGTGCCAGCACCAATGAAGTATCCTGTTAGAGAAAGCACGCAGCACTCGCGGTGCAACAATCAGGATATCCTTGGCGCAGACCCGGGGTTGGATGGACTTTTGTCAAGGGCACGGAACAAACCTCGCCCAGCTACTGCTGGTGTGTCGTGCGCAATGGCCTTGCGCTTGTCCCCCCTGCACGTGCAAGTGCAACCGGATCACCACAAGTTTTCGGAGACCGCCTTCGCGAGAAATTATGTAATGAGGAAGTAGGACAGGGAGGGGGTAGACCCTGTCCCTAGTCCGAACCCTCACCAAACTCCCCGATTGCATGCTTTGTCCAAAATGTTTACCTCCTAAAAGAAAATCCTGCGAAGGCTACTGACTGTGCCCCCCCCCCGATCCCTCCGGCTGGTCTTGAACCCGAGGCCATGCATTCCACTGAGCACAACACCCCCCCCCCTCCTCCATTGCTATCCTGTCTGCTCAACCATCGTGCAATGACAGCGGCATGGCGGCAGTGCTGGCAGCCAACATCGTCATGGCTGGGTACGCCATCGTAGCGATAAAAGAGGATGGGGTCGAGGAGGGCGGCAATCGACCGAGGACGACGCCCTTGAAAGTGGACTAGATAGGACCGTATGATTAGCAGACACACTCGACAAAGATAGCATACGGGTGTAACTTTGGTTGCCTTGTTCCCGTGTCGCTATTTGTGTTGGTGTCACCATGTTTATGTACATAGACTTATGTGTTCCGCTTTGTGGTGTGTCTCGGCGTCCTTTGCTATTGCTTGCGGGGTTTGCACTTGCTTTCCTTGTAAATGGTTGTCCTCACGTGTTTGGTGAGACCTGCCGACTTCGGAGACATGTGGGAGATACGAAGAAGATCATCATTCGTGGGATCTGATGGCGAACCCGTGAATCTTTTCGAGTGTCTCGTGGTTTACGCTGTTTTCGAGCGATTCCCTACCGTTACGTGCGAAACGATTCGCCCAGACAGGTAAGATCAACGTTGTCTCTTTATTGCCTCGTTTACCGTCTCAACGATTGAGACGCCACTCATCCAGCGGTGAAGGTCTACCCTCCGAATATCATGTCCACGCCGTGCCCCGAGCAGCAAATATACGCCACGATTCCGGTTGATTGCAATCTTGTCGGCGGCGGCTATCACTCCCTCCATGTCTTTCGAGGCCTTCAATGGCTCGCAGGGGCGCGGATCAACAAGTTCGAGCTCGAAGTCGTCTTCCAGTTGTGCGAAGAAGTCTTTCTCGCGGCTGCAGAGGCGGATAGGCGACAGCACTGCCATTTTTGAAGAGGGGGTCTGGAGCTCTGTCAACTCCATGTCTTTGAGCGCCACAAAGCTTTGGACCTCCCGAAATTCGCATGAGACTCCTTCGACCAGATTGGAGGGCGTCGACAGCCCATTCAAAACACACCGGGTGCATTTCGGACGAAGAAGCCTTGCCAATATTTTCAGCGCATCGCATGACTCCTTGCATCAAGAGGTACGGCCAACCGTGTAAACATAAGACAAAAAGCTCAAGTTGATCCGTACATGCACCTGGGATCGATTGTCGATGTATTTCTACCTGTTATGCCGTCGTTTGAAGGCCACCAGCAAGATCGTTCTCGGGCCGCACGTGGCAGCCAACGCTCTTCGGAACGCAGCGAACATCGCGGAGTCATAGAGACAGTCAGACGCCAGGACGATGTCGAACTCGGGTGATGACAATTCCCTCGCCTCTGCGGCCGTGTGATTGTCCCTGCACTCATCGACGTTTGTATGCCGTCGAGAAGGCACGCGAGCGGACGAGCGGTGAGTACAGGAATTTCGTGCCTTTTCGTCGCATATGGGTTCAAGTGCGCTATGTCCGCCGTCTATAGCAGCAGGACTATCGTTAGTCCTCTCTCCCTGCTCCTTGGAAAAGAGTAAGGACCTTTCGCCAAAGCCCAGACTAACAACCAAATCCCAAACTCATTTCTTTCCGATTTCGTTTTTTCATGAATGTTACTTACCAGCTGAACGACATGAAGGTCACGCGGGGGCAGCCCGGTCCTGAAAACGTCCCTGAATTGCGTTTCACGTTGGATCGCACAAGATGCTCGAGGGCATGGCGGTCTGTCAACACCACGTCCTTGGCACCGCACTGTGCGGCTGCGAGACCCGCAACTCCTGTCCCGGCGCCCAAGTCTAATACTCTCTTTCCCGATACGAGATAGCGATGTCGGCCGAGAAATGCGGCAAGGTATTCGCCCTGTCCACAAGGGTATTTCGTTACACACGGAAGCGGGGGGTGGGGACAGGGAGGGGGCGTACTCGCCGATCCTATATTGCCTCTGGTATATGTTGTGTACAAGTTTGAATTCTGGCCACCCTCGTGTCGTATTTGATTTGAGACAGAGCCTCCAAGATATGTATCAGTTCCTTGTCCAAACAGAAGCATCTGTAGCATATGGTTGACCTACGCCTCTAGACTACACCGCGATGAGATTACCCGTACCCGTGGAGTTGCAACACCTACAGTACTCCAAACCTCACACACGCAGAAACTATCGCTTCCCTCGCTACTACAGGTCATACTTTGGGGGAGGGTGGCTTTCGGACACGGCCGACAAGGATCCGTATTCTTACATTGTTGCGTTGTGGGGGCGTAACCATCATACACTTGGCAACGGAGGGCGGTTTGAGTTGAGTGGCAGGATACAGTCAGGAGATACCTCTACTTGCTCGACATGTAGCTCTCTAGCGTGATGATATATCAGTGCGTGTTAGGAGCAACATTCCAACTAGAATGACTCGCTAAACTGAAGTCCATTAGGCGATTAGCACCTGTAGACTAGAAGACTTGGCAGCTATGTATTGAGCCTTGAACTCACACAGTCCCATACAACGGCACCCAGACCAAGGTTGCGAAGATCCTGCCGCAGCGTGAGTGTTGCATGTTGGACAGGACCATCACTCGCCAATCCTTGTGACCGAATATTCGCCAGGGTGTACTTCACAGTAGCCACGTCTTGAGCAGCCCTCACAAAGTTAACGCCCAGCTGCGGCACCGACCCATGATCGACTGCAAAGATTTCTTTCCACGAAGATGATGTGGATCCAGAATCGCGATTTTCGTTATGACCCACCGGTGGTGAACTCCGGGTGCAGGCTGCATCGCGAGGAATCTGGAGGGGAGACATACTGCGTGTGTGCGACATGCCCCGTTTCTCTTCCCCCTACTCTCGTGCACCTTGTCTCGCGCACGTACAGAGCAAATTACATGATGCATCGTTCGTGGAGTCCAAACTTTCACGCGGGGACAACTTTTGGACGTCCCCTCCTGTCGCTCAACGAGGTGTCCGCCTCCGCAGATGGCACTCCTCGTCGTAGTTTCGCCGCGTTTTTTTGTTGTGGTTATCCTTGCGAGGTCGTTGGTGCCCTCTCGACCTCCTCCTCATAGCTCCACGAGCACACACACTGCGGGGGGACCCCTCGGGTAGAAAACAGAGTGGCATCTCCGGCGGCCTCTCGATGGCGGAAGACGCGGGCAGGAAGTGGTACCCTCTCCATTCCGCGCTCATCTTTGGAGATCTTCCATCTGCCAAGAGCTTGTTTGAGAAAGGATGCAGCGATGCCGGCATGCTGGTCACGTCCAACTCGAAGGGGTGGAGAGCACTGCACTTCGCCACTCAGAGTGGACACAACGAATCAGTGAGTAGTGCCCTTTCTATGTCCGTTCTGTTCACCTCGTCGTTCCAAGAAGCTCCACGCAACGCGACACCGATGCTGAACTTTTCCCGTGATTTTATGCGTCTGCAGTCTACAGCAGCAGCAGACGATTGTGGAAGAACACAGCGTAGATAGATGTCGGGTGTGCCGACGAAGGTTTGGTTGATACACTAGTCCTGGATAAAGTAGCACCGACATGGGGGAATGGTTGCCTCGATCGTGGCCTTCACATGGTGTGCAGCGTCGGCGAAAACCCCACCAGGTACTTCAAGCAGAGCTCGGTTGTGTGCGACGCTTCTGTCTCTGCGCAGAAGAGCCCTCATCCAATCCCGTTCCAAACGAAACCGATGAGCTATCCTGACCGCATCGAGGGCCTGACCTCGGTGGGTTGGCTACGCAACGAGAGGTGTCCATCGCACCACAGCTGTCTACACACAACTGTGCAATGATGTAGATTACAGGTTGTGTTGACATACGTGGGCCAGTTTGCAGTTGCACAAGGACAATTGACTGTCATCCGGTTCCTCGGCAACGAATCGCTCCGACTGCGGAGTCATGTAGCAACACTCAACACGTGCATCTTAAATCCTGAGCACGTTGTGTTGGTCATCGGAGCAGCGACGGCTTTCGCTTTCCCTGGGTGCACGAGACAGCAATCTTGTGAGCTGCTGCACGTCGGGGCCGGGGCGCGCTGCAGCGTGGCCACATCGCGGTTACAGACTACAGTGAAGCTGTGACTAAATAGGACGAGTCGAACTACAGTATGTGCATGCGAGGGTGTACGTTTTTCGTTTGCGATGTATGTAGTTGGTCTCGTGGACCGAGTGATGGGGGTATTCCCATCTAGTCGAGATGAGAAGGGACGGGAATAATGCAACGAATGGTTTGGTGCCATCGCAGGACGACACAGATTGTGGCCTTCCCCCATCACCGCCACAAATTACTATCGGGATTAAGCTGAACACGCGATATGGTTTGTCCCCGCACACCAAGTGCAATCGTGTGTGTAGAGGGCACTCCCCAGGCGCGCTACCGTGTAAGACACAAGATAACACACCCCCTTGACCAAGCTCGTTTTCTCACTGCAGGAACAGTCACAGCGCCGAAAACGGCGTCGTTGAAACCGTCTCGTTCATAGCTTCTCGAAAATGTATCATTTCGTTTATGCATCCTCTTTGTCGTGGAGTAATCGAGCTTTGATAATCCGTGCAGGGGGTGTGTTATCTTGTGTCATATACGGTATATCCATCCGCGCTCTGGAATTTCAACCCGCCGCACGCAACCTTCTGATGCATCCGTGCCTAAGGTTTTCCTTGTTTGGTTCCTGCACCCAATACGGAGGGATACACATACCACCGTTCACGTTCGAGAGTTTCCTGAACGAGTCACACAAATACTCCCTTCGCTGCTAACATGCAACACCCGTGCCCAACATTTCCACGCCCCCTTCTGACGATTGGCCATTTGCGCCCCCTGAGAACAATGCTCCGTCCTCTCGAGGACGCGGGGCAATGGCCTAACAACTACGGCATGCAAGAACATGCCATCGGTCATCGGTCCTGTGGGAACAACAATGCTCCGTCCTGTCGAGAACACGGGGTCATTGGTCTATGCACAAAG